CTCCTCCTCCTCCTCCTCCTCCTCCTCCTCCTCATCATCATCATCATCATCATCGGCAATATCAGCATCACCATCATCACCATCGCCGTCACCACCACCACCACCACCATCACCATCACCACCATCAGCATCGCCACCACCATCATCATCATCATCATCAGCATCATCATCACCACCACCATCATCATCATCACCACCACCATCATCATCATCATCATCAGCATCATCATCATCATCATCACCACCATGATCATCATCATCATCATCATCATCATCATCATCATCATCACCACCATGATCATCATGCACACCATCGTCATCATCATCAGCATCATCATCATCGTCATCATCGTCGTCAACATCGTCATCATCATCACCATCACGACCACAACGACAACGATAGACGAATACAACAACGACGACGGCGAACAAGACGAGAACCGCGACTGAGGCGACGACGACGACCACGACCACGACGACGACCAAGACAACGACCAAGACAAAGACGGCGACGACCACAACCACGACGACAACGACCACGATCGAGACGACGACGACGACCATGAAGGGGGACGAGGAGGACGAACAGGACATAAACTGCAACGTATTACTACGTTTGAAAAATGGCGGCCTCTGAATGCGGGTCAGGTCGATCTGAAGATGTCCTTCCATACTTCATTGGAGATCGGCAAGGAAGAGACGGTACGTGTATGAATAGCTGCCTTTGTCAACTCTGTCTGCGAGTATGTCGAAGCGCTCATGGGGCCTCTTGAAGGGCGTATTGGGTCCCTCTTGACAGCATGTTGGGGACCTCTGGGGGCCTCGTGGTGGTATCTTGAAGGTCTTTTGGGCGGGTTTGTGGCCTTTTGTGGGCCTCTTGGGAGCGTCTGGGGCCTTTTAGGAGCCTCGGGGAAATCTCTCGGGGCCTCCTGGAAGCTCTTTAGGGCTTGGGGGCCTCTTTGGGGTATCTTGAGAACCTATTGGGGCCCTTTGGGGGCCTCTGGTTGCCTCTTGGGGTCGCTGGTAGCACTTCCCAGGGGCAGCTTGGGAGGCCTCGTGGGGGTCATCTTGAAGCCTCGGAAGCGTGAGAAAAGGGAAAAGCCCAAATCATCGATTTACCATCTGGCTTTGAATGATTTTGGCCTCTGGAGGGTTTCCTCGGGGGGCTCTTGGAACCCTCTTAGGACGTCTTCGAGACCTCGTGGCGATTCTTGAAACAATCCTGGGGCGTGTTGGAGGGCTCTCTGGGCCATCTTGGGGGGTCTTGGAGCCCTCTTCGGCAGTCTGGAGGCCACCCTGGGCCCTCTTGGGGCGCTCTCGCGCGCTCTCGGCTCCTCAGGCCCTCTGGGGACAGCGCCGGGGGGGGGGAGGACACCGAAAGACAAGGGGACCCCCCCCGGGGTCCCGGGACTGGGATCTCCCTGAAGTGTGTGTGTGTGTGTATGTGTACTAGAACCATCGCACGCGCTTCGCGCGCGCTCAGGTTCTAGCAGGCCCCAGGCCTTGACGAATTCACTGCTCCACTGAAGTAGTGGACCACAGTCCACGCATGCCAATCTGCATTCCGAAAGGCCTTCGAGGAAAATGATTGTGCAGGGGGACGGAGGCCGTATGAATCGGGTTCCCAGAGGGCCTTCTGGGAGCATGGGTTTGGGGGCGTCTTGGGGAGTATGTTGGGGCGTGCTGTCGTCGTCGTCGTCGTCGTCGTCGTCGTCATCGTCGTAATGTCGTCGTCGCCTATTGGGGCACGCCGTCGTCGTCGTCGTCGTCGTCGTCGTCGTCGTAGTCGTCTTCGTCGTCTCGTCGTTGTCGTCGGTTCAAGAGGGCACTTGGGGCAACTTTGTGCGAAACGACCTGCAGAGGGCCGCGAGAAGGCGATCGGTCATGTTCCCAATCAACTTCCCAGACGATTTTCTTGTAGTGGGCGTTCCCTGGGAGCCCCTTGGGGGTCTCTTGGGGCTTCCTCGGGGCCTCTTGGGCACCTCACGAGGCTTCGTGGGAGCCTCTTGGTGCCTCCGGGGGCCTACAGGCGGCCTCTAGGGCCAGAGACCTCGAAATATCGGTTGGCGGTCCCCCTCTGGGCCCTCTCTTGGGGAGCTCTTGGGGCACAGTTGGGTTGTCTGGAGAGCCTCCTGGGCCGTCTTGGGGCCCTCTTCGGGGCCTCGTGGCCCGTCTTGGAGCGATCTGAAGCGCCTCCGAGCGAGGCCGTGAGGGAACGCTGGGAAGCGGGGAAAGCGAGAACTCCTAAATCCTTCAAAAACCATTAGAAAATTAGTGAATCTTGCCTCCCAGGGCCCTCTTGGGGAGCCTCTTGAGTCCGTCCTGGAGCGTGTAGGAGTCCTCGTCGGCCGTCTTAAGGGCAACTTGGGCGTCTTCGGGGCCTCTTGGGACCGTCTAGGGCCCTCTCGGGACCTCCATTAGCCTGTCGTGGCCTGCTTCGAGGCGGGCCCGGGCCGCCTCGGGACCCCTCTGGGCCTTCTCTTGACGTGCTCTTGGGGTACACTTGGGTTGTCTGGGGAGCATCCTGGGCCGTCTTGGGGCCCTCGTCGGGGCCTCGTGGGCCTTCTTGGAGCGATCTGAAGGGCCTCCGAGGCCGTGAGGGAGCGCTGGAAAGCGGGAAAAGCGAGAACGCCCAAATCCAAAACACTCGGAAAACGAGTGAATCTTGCCTTCCAGGGCCCTCTTGGGGAGCCTCTTGAGTCCGTCCTGGAGAGTGTTGGACTCCTCGTCGGCTGTCTTGAGGGCATCTTGGGCGTCTTCGGGGCCTCGTGGGACCGTCTTGGGCCCTCTCGGGACCCCCTTAGCCTGTCGTGGCCTGCTTCGGGGCGGGCTCGGGCCGCCTCGGGAGCTCTGGTCCCCCCCCGCAACCCCCGGTGGGCACCGATGGGGGGAACAGGCAACGGCCCGCCCCCCCCCCGGGCCTACTCCAAGATAGAGAATCATGTTCCCGGGAAGCTTTCCGGGAGCATGATTTGTTCGGCTCTCTCAGATGGGGGGCTCTGCAGAGGGGCTTACCGAGGGACGGCGCCTTTGGCCTTGTCGGCAAGCCTATTCGAAACATGGGGTTGGGGCAATGGGCGGAAACCCAAGGAATCATGTTCCCGGAAATCTATCTGGGAAATGCGATTTACCAAAGTGTCTTGGGGGCCCGCAGGGGGCTTCCTTGGGGCCCCCTTGGAGGCCTATCGGGGCTTCCAGGGGGCCTCTCCGGGGGCGTGCTAGGAGCCTCTCAGGCCAGAGACCTTGAAATGTCGCGCTCTTCGGGCCCTCTTGGGTCGCTCTTGGGGCTCTCTTGGGGCGCTCTCGAGGCCCTCTTGACTTATCTGGGGAACCTACTGGGCCGTCTCTGGGCTTTCTTGGGAGCCTCTTCGGCCGTCTTGGAGCGATCTGAAGGGCCTCTGACGCGGTCCGGGACTGTGGGGAGGCGGAATATGGGAGAGCGCAAGAATGTTTCAAAAACCATTAGAAAATGTATGATTTTCAGCTTCTGGGGCCCTTCGGAGGGGCCTCTGGGGGGCGCTCTTGGAGCGTTTTGGCGGCGTCGTCGGCCGTCCTGAAGCCATTTTCGGCGTGTCCGGGGCCTCTGGGGGCTGTCTTTGGGCAGTCCTGGGAACCCTGAAATCATGTTCCCGGAGAGGCTTCCGGGAACATGATTTCGAACGGTGCCCTCTTGGGCCTCCCTGAGGGCGTCTTGGGGGCCTCCTGGGCTGGCTTTGGGTTTTTTGTGGCCGTCTCGGGGGGTTATGTAGGCCCCACAGGACGACCCTTTTGGGCCGTCTTGGACCCTCTTGGGTCTCTCTTGGGCTGTCTTGGGGCTCCTCGGAGGCGTCTGGGGCACTGTGAAGACGAAGCAAGCGAGTATGCTGGAAACGTACGTTTTACGAAGGGGAGTGGGCCGATGTTTGCCCCTTGAAGGCCCTCTTGGGGCCTTCTTCGGCCATCTTCAAGCCATCTCGGATCCTCTTGGGCCTCGCTGAGGCTGTCTTATAGGCCTCTTGGGCGTCCTGGGAACCCGGAAATCATGTTCCCGGAGAGGCTTCCGGAAACATGATTTCGAACGGTGCCCTCTTGGGCCTCCCTGAGGCCGTCTTGGGGGCCTCCTGGGTCGGCTTCAGGGCCTCTTGGGCCGTTTTGGGGGGTCCCGTGAGCCCCACAGGCTGACCCTTTATGGGCCGTCTGGGGCCCTGTTGGGTCTCTCTTGGGCTGTGTTGGGGCTCCGCGGGGGCGTCTGGGGCACTGTGAAGACGAAGCCAGCGAGTATGCTGTCAATATACGTTTTACGAGGGAGTGGGCCGATGTGTGCCTCTTGATGGCCCTCGCTGGCCATCTTCAAGCCATCTCGGGCCCCGTTGGGGCGCTCTTGGGCGTCTTCGGGGCCTCTTGAGGCTGTCTTGACCATCTGTACGGCCCGCGTGATCTCTCGTGGGCAATTTGGAAGTGGCCCGGGGCAGTCCCGGGGGGTCTGTGACCCCCCAAAGGTTCCGGCGGGCGCCCATGGGGGATGAGGGCACCGGCCCGCCCCCCCCTGGGCCTACTCCGATATATGTCTATGTTTATTTTAATTATACATACATACATACATACATACATACATACATGCATGCATGCATGCATGCATGCATCCATACATACATACATGCATGCATGCATGCATGCATGCATGCATGCATGCATGCATGCATTCATTCATTCATTCATTCATACATTCATACATTCATACATTCATACATTCATACATTCATACATTCATACATACATACATACATACATACATACATACAAACAAACAAACATACATATACATATACATATACATATACATATACCTATACCTATACATATACACACATACATGTTTATATATATACACACAAATGTTTAATGGCCCATTGGCCCAGGTACCTCCGTATCCACCGTTTGCTGACATCCCCGGAGATCGATCCCCCCACGCGGCGATTACATATGGATCCATGCTTCGGATTCGGCTGACAACCCAAATCCTGCAGCGACTTCTCGATGGCCTTGTGGCGCGCCTGCGCTTCGCCGCGCGCGCCACGTGCCGCCTCTGCCGCCTGCACCCGGCTCTGCACGGCGGTGGCGCCGCCATCCAGCCCAGTCCTTCACGATGAGAACGCAATTTTCCGACATCTACACGCAGCGTGACCCTTGACTCGTCTGCACGTGGGGCGACCAGCGCTGTGAACGCTTCATACGACAACAACGCACTGCGAGGTATGCAACACGTGAGAAAACGATGCACTGTCGGGCGGGGCGCGTTGCACGGCGGTGGGGGCGGGAAAGAGCCTGGTCCTCCAGGATCGCATTCCTCCAAAACTGTCTGCACATGCCCAGTCTGCACGTTGGGCGGCTGGTGCTGTAAACGCTCCATATAACAAAAACGCAATGCGAGATACGCGACACTTGGGAAACCGATGCAACGTCGGGCCGCGCACGTCGCACATCTGCGCAACAGAGTGCGGATGACAAGTGTGGAGGAGGAGGAGGAGGAGGAAGAGAAGAGAAGGAGCAGGAGGAGGAAGAGGGAAAGGAGGGCAAGGACGATTGTGAGGGGAAAGTAGGAAACCCTGGTACGACTAGCAGCGCCATTTGCCGCTGCAAGTGACGAGCGCCTGAGGAGGGGGGCCGAGTGGGCAATGGAGGACAGCGGCATGCGCTACGTGACGCTCCAGCGCCGTGCGTTCTGTGATGAAACAACGCCGCGCGCTGACTGACGGCACAGCGCCGCGCGCAATGTGGGCGCGTTCCCTTTCATATTCGACCAGTCCTCGCCTGTTGCAAGCATCGCCGACGGCGCTTCACAAGCAGCAGCCGACGCGCGCGCGCTCGCAAACACCCCGCTTGCCGTTCTCCTCCCTTCTGTCTGGCAGGGACTTGGCAAGGCCGAGCGCGTGCGCCATCTTCATGGGCTGCTCCCTGCACTTGTCCGTGCGCGTGCTGAAAGCCTGGAGGCGCGCGGCCAGGTCCGCCGGAGGCGCCTGGGACAGGAAACAACGAAAAAGGCTACAACTGCGCACTTCGCAGCCACCCGGGAAGATGCCAGGCTCTGGCTGGATCTGCGTGGACCCCACTCCGCTGGATCTCCCAGAAGCCAACAAAATTGGTGACAATTGCGGAGTTCGCAACCACCCAGGGGGCAGCAAGGTCCCATCTGGATGCGCCGCATGGCCCCCGACTCCGCTGGACCTCCCAAGAACCCACGAAAGTTGTGACAAGTGCGCAGTTCGCAGCCACCCAGGAAGCAGCGAGGTCCCGTCTGGATGCGCGTGGCCCCCGACCCCGCTTGACTTCCTAGATGGCCACAATGCTGATGGCAATTGCGCAACTTGCAGCCACCCATGGAACAGCGAGGTCCCGTTTGAATGTGCGCGGCCCCCGATTCCGTTGGACCAGGAGCCAACGAAGGTAGCGACAAATTGGGCAAAACACAGCTGCCCAGGGGGCGGCGAGGTCCCGCCTGGACGCGCGTGGCCCGCGACTCCGCTGACCTCCCAGGAGCCCACGAAAGTGGTGACACGCGCGCAGCTCGCGCCACCCAGGGAGCAACGATGTCCCATCTGAATGCGCGTGACCCCCTCGACTCCGCTGGACCTCCCAAGGACCCATGAAAGTGGTGACATCTATGCAGTTCGCAGCCACACAAGGAGCAGCAACGTCCCGTCTGGATGCGCGTTGCTCCCGACTCTGCTGGACTTCGCAGCCTTCCAAGGAGCAGCGACGTCCCGTCTGGATGCGCGTGCGCAGTTCGCAGCTAGCCAGAAAGCAGCGAGGTCCCGCCTGGATGCGCGTGGGCCCCGACTCCGCTGGACCTCCCAGGAGCCCACGAAATGGGTGACAATTGCGCACATCTCAACCACCCAGGGAGCAGCGAGGTCCCGTATGGATGCGCGTGGCCCCCGACCCCGCTTGACCTCCCAGGGGCCCACGAAAGTGGTGACAATTCAGCCCTTCGAAGCCACCCAGCAGTCACTCAGGACGCAGCGAAGTCCCGTTTGGATGCACGTGGCCCCCCGTGTCCGCTGGACCTGCCCAATGCCCACGAAAGTGGTGACAATTGCGCAGTTCGCAGCCTAGCTCCTCATACACACCACCTGCTCATCCCTCTTCATGTTTCCTCCAATCGATTGTACCCGCTCCACCTCTCCTCCTTATTGTGCTTCCTGCGCCATTCCAATACACTCTGCTCATGCTCCTCGTCGCTCCTGTTCATGAAGCGAAAACAGAGAGATGGACGGCTTCTACACAGAGAGGAAGAGGCGTCTGCCGGTCCTCAGCTCGGCTACGTGCTTCTCAAGGGCCTCCGCCGCCAACTTCGCGGCCATGTTGTCCAGCGCGTTCCGCTCCGCCAATGGCTTCCTTGCAGTGCTCGGCAACATCAACACCAAGGACTCCTCCACTGGGCCGGGGCAACATACGTCAACATCGAATCGGGAATCCGATCGAGTCGGAATGTGAAGCAAATCGGCCTGCATCGGGCATTGGGAAGGAGTCGAAATCGAATAGGATCGGCAGCGCCAGGATGAGCATCAACGCCATGCAAGCATCGACACGTATCCGATCGCCAGAATTCGGAATCTCGGGCCGAGTGGAATCGATATCCAATTGGAGTGATCGGATCGACATTGATCCTGGTGGGCCAGGGCGTCATAGCCATGCCTGAACGCCCAGTTCGGGTCCCGAGCCTCACTCGTGGCGAGCCCACACGCACACATCTCAAAGATCCTCGGGGAAAACAGAGGCTGGAAAATGTAAACCATGCGGGGGTCTGGATCGAGCCTTCCCGAGTGCCCTGAGTATTGCGTGCTATTTCAGTCTGTGGCGCTAAACCCCCATCCCATTCCCTCGTCTCCGCTTCCCCCTCCCTGTGCCCCCTCCTTCCCTCTCCCTCCCTGTCCCCCTTTCTTTCCTCCCTTCACCTTCCCTCCCCGTCCCCTCGCCTAAGACGACGGCAGGAAGTTCGTGAAACGTCACGTAGCCTCGTATCTATCAGGGAGGCGTAGTGACCGAAACTGTGCCCTAAGACCAGCCCGAGTGTGACCGAAACTGGCGCCCGAAGATTTCCGACCGCACCCGCGTGTGACCGAAATGCCTTGTTTCGGTCACACTGTTTCGGTTACACTGCGGGCACACTAGTTACGTTGCTGGTTACGATTTCAGTCACACTGCGTTGTCGGTCACAACTTCGGGCGCGTTTTCTGTCACAGTTCGTGTGTCGGTCACCTACCTTTTCGGCTGATCGGGACCAGATGCCATGAGAAATTGAGTAGAGATAGCTCGACCTCTCTGAAGCCTGGCGGGCCTGGCCTTTTCAGAGCGTTCCAGAAATCTCTCGTACGATTTCCGACTACTCGGCCTGCCTGATCCCAGCCTGGTGGCGCACAAGGCGCCTCTACCACATCCAGGGAGAGGGCTTCCCAACTTCCCAACTGATGGGATTGGGGCTCCACAGTGCTCGCTCGACCTCGCCGCCCTAGGCGGCAGCGCGCAAGCAGGGGAGAGGAGGAAAAGAAAGGGGAACGGTCAACAACGGCCGCTTGCGATAGAACACACGGCGTACCATAACATTTCAGAGGGCCCAGAAAGTTTGTGCTTGTGCCGCTGTTTCGTCTTCGATATGACCACTAGGCCACTGGTGCTGCTGCAAAGGACTTCAATCCCACGAGGGACCTCGTCTGCCCCATGGCGCCGCCATCAGCGTCGAAGATAAGTCGAAACCACGCCAAAACCACGTCGAACCCATGTCGAACTCACGAAAGGAGTGCCCCTTTTGCAGCAACAGCACCAGGCATGCGACAAACTAAAATATTCAATACGCGGCTCCGAATCAATTCCCACCATCCCTTTAGGGCGTAGGTGGTCTAGGGTGTTCTGTCTTCCATCTGCCCCTCGTCCCCTTCGGGGAGGGGTTTACCCCTCCACCTACCCCTCCCCTGGACCTGAACGGGGCGCCCCGCGAGGTGTCAGTGGGTAGTTGTTCGTCCAAGATGGCTCCAAGGGGGCCTTAGAGAGCCTGAGCTCCAAAATGGCTCAAGATACCCCAAGATGCATCAAGATGGCTCCAAAGATGCTCCAAGAGGTCCCAAGACCGCTCCAAGACGGCTCCAACTGGTCAAAGAGAGCTCCCCAAGGAGGCTCCAAAGAAGCCAACATCCTTCCAAAAACTAAGGACAGATCAATGTGTGCTGCTTTCTCGCCTTTTCGCTTCCAATGGCCATCCGAGGCCTCAAGATGGCTCCAAGATGGTCCGAGAGGGCTCCAAAGTAGGCTCCAGAGATCCCCAAGACGGCCTCAAGAGCGCACAAGATCGCTCCAAGAGCGCCCCAAGAGCGCCCCCAAGAGGCGACGTTTTGGGCTCCCGAGGGGCAGGGCTAATTAAAGCCCTCCTCTTGTTTGATCGATGTCTTCCAAGATGGCCCCAAGAGCGCTCCCAACGCTCCCAAGAGCGCCTCAAGAGGGCCTCAACAGGCGCCCAGGAGGCCCCAATAGGCGTCCAAGAGGCCTCCAAGAGGCTCCCAAGAGACCCCCAAAGAGCCCCAAGAGGCTCCCGAGGCACCCGAGACGCTCGAAGGGGCAAGAGGGACCGCCAAGAGGCCCCCAAGACGCAAGAGACGCCCAAAATAGCCCCAATACGGCCCCAAAAAATGTCCCAAGAGCGCTCCAAGAGGGACCCTTCCTCTGTGTGCTGCCCACTTCCCTGATCGATGCAACTGCTCTGGGCATCGTCTCTGGATGGGCTGGTGGGGTTATGCGAACCGTCTAGAATTCTGATGGATTCGGGCCCGAACACGGAATTGGAAAACAAAAACACGTCGTCGGAGATCTTGGACGTAACCTCCCCGTCCTCCAGGCCCAGCTTCGCGCAGACCTTCTGCGTGGCCCTCACCTGCTCCTCCAGCCGCCCAGCAAGCTCGCCGGCAGGCTGCCCGTGCCCCCGCGTGAGCAGGGCGTAGCCGGCCTCCCGTCGGGCCAGGGAGGATCGGAGGCACTCGGCGAGGGCTCAGGGCTGGCTCGGAGGCTGCCCAAAGAGGAGGCCGCGGCAACTCCTCATCCCTCCTCCAGCGGGGGTTCTGGCGACCCGGATCCTCGACTTCGTAGGGCTATCGAACAGATAACAAATCTGGGAGGGGTGCATCCGAATAACCCTGTCCCACGGATACTAATCCCACAGGGAATGTAAAAAACGGGGTCGCGGGGGGATTATAAATGTTGCCTACCGGAGGCCAGCATGTGGGAGGAGAAAGAGATGACGTTAAGACGACCGAAAGCCGAGGATCGAGGATCGAGAATCGAAGTCCGAGGATCAAGATCCCAGAGTCGAGGATCGAGGTCCGAGGATCGACGGCGGCGAGGTCCGAGGATCGAGGATCGAGGTCCGAGGGTCGAAAATCGAAGATCGAGGATCGAGGTCCAGGGTGCCAGGGGGAGAAGGAGGACGACAGAGAGAGACAGAGACAGAAAGATACAAATAGTTAGAGAGAGAGAAGTAGAGAAATATAGACAGAAGAGAGGAGGAGGAGGAGGAGGAGGAGAAACGCCAAAGTTCCAAACCTATTAAATTTACGGTGTAAACAAACAGAGAAAGATAGACAGACAGAAGGAGAGAGAGAGAGAGAGGAGGAGGAGGAGGAGGAGGAGGAGGAGGAGGAGGAGGAGGAGGAGGAGGAGGAGGAGGAGGAAAGCCAAAGTTCCAAACCTATTACATTTATTTTGTAAACATACAGTCGAAACTAAGATTTTCGTCTGCTCGTGTAGGGTGCCTCATGTGCCTCGGTGTCCGTGGATAGTAAACCACATCGATAAAACAAAAAGTTCAGGGGGCCAGGGGGGAAGGAGAAAGACAGAGAGAGAGAGAGAGAGACAGAGACAAAGAGAGAGAGAGCGAGAGAGATAGAGAGAGAGAGAGAACAAGAAAGCAAGAGAGGAAGAGGAGGAGGAGGAGGCGGAGGAAGTCTCTCATCGACAAGTCTCTCGCTTCGCTTGAGACATCCTCGAAGAATTGTTGGTTCCGCTGGAAACATCCTTGAAAAACTGATCGTGTCGCTTGAGGCTACCTCCAAAAAGTGTTGGTTTCGCTTGAGACATCCTCGAACACATCTTCGCTTCGCTTGATGTTGCTATCTCAACCTAAGAAGTAAGTTAACCTCGATGGTGAACTTTTCACAATGATAAAATAGTTCGGCCTCCGCGCCCCGCGCCCCTGACCAAACTCTTCTTGGCCGTGGATAATCAACTCTAGCGTGGAAAGGGGGGGGTCCTTTTTATCATCGGCACAAGGTTAGCTCTCTGGGATGTATCCCCAAGTTTCCCCACGTGTGTTCTGAGCGGCTTAACTTTTCGGGCGGAACTGGGGGATGGGGTACAAGAAATCGCCAGCGATCCTCCTCCGCCTCCTCCTCCTCCTCCTGCTACGACTACTGCGCACGGCCCGCGAGCGGCCAACCCTGCTCCTGCCCCCGCGCACGCCCGCGTGGAGGGCGCTGCAGCGGGCGGGCGGGCGGGCTCGAGGTGCGCCGAGTCTCCACGTCTGAGCTCGGCCGTTCCGAGGCGGAGAAAAGGGGGGGGGGGCGAGATGTGGCCCTGATCTCGTTGAGACTGGCAGATTTCCCAAACAATGCTTGCGCGTGGGCCCCCGTGAGCGCCTCATGGGCGCCTCGCGCTGAGGGGGGGCGTGAGGTGTCGCCTTGTGCCCGCCCGTGGGCACCTCGTGGGCGCTCGTGGGCCCCTCGCGCTGGAGGAGTCTGCCGAGGTGTCGCCCGGTGCCCGCCCGTGGGCGCCTCGTGGGCGCCCCGCGCTGCGGGGGGTATGCCGAGGTGTCGCACGGCCGGTGCCCGCCCGTGGGCTCCTCGTGGGCGCTCCGCCAGCTTGCACCACGCAGATTGCAGCGCACAGCATGCACCGAACAGCTTGCACCACAAAGCTTGCACCACACAGCTTGCACTACGTAGCTTGCACCACACAGCGTGCATTGCATAGCTTACACCACATAGGTTGCACGGTGGGGCAGACTTCACATACGTAGATTGCACCACGTAGCTTGCACATGATAGCGTGCACCACATGGCGTTCAATGCGGAGCTTGCACGCCGTAGCTTAGCCCGCGATACTTGCACAACGTAGACTACAAAAGCATATCTTGCACCACATAGCTTACACCACACAGCTTGCACCGAATAGGTTGCACCACGTAGTTTACACCACATACACAGTATGTACCACGTCGATTGCACAACGCATGTTGCCCCACACAGTCTGCACCACCTAGATTGCACAAGTAATGTATTACTCCACATGTCATGCACCGCATACCTTTAACATCATGGCCCGCGCCACCTAGCTTACACATCCTCAGTGCAAGAGCTTAGTTTTGGGTCTGCACTTGCTAACACGTCCTTGCATGGTGTCCTTCCTACCCCTTCGTCCCCTTTTTGATATGGTGCTGGATCAGAAAAGCGCGAGTAACTTCGACGTGCTTGAAACGTCGTAGTAGTGTGGAGCAAGTGTACGTTCTGAAGAGGTTGGCTCGCGGCGGGTGGATCATGTATTCATAAATGGCACTGGACAATGTGAGACAATGTAATAGCAATGCTCGCAGACGTCCTCCGCCACCGACTACTGCGAAACTACAAAGGTGGGCCAGCGGGAACTACCAAGTGAGCAGATCCGACTATAACATTACTCAATACTCCACGTACACGTTGGCACTCAACAAATTTGGCCGCCTTGGGCTCTTCGGGTTACCTTCAAAGACCTGGAGGCCATGTTGGGGGCGAACCGTGCGGAACATTGGGACCACCATGGGCCCCTTCCATTGGTATCGGCAGATTCGGACGTAAGGCCAATGCAACATTTTATGGTGTTGCGCCAGAACTGACGAAAATAATGTATGGCAAATTCTGAAGGACTACCTTGTGCGGTGGCTTCTTCAACCGCGTGGATCGTTCGACTGTGAACGTTCGACATGGGTCGATTCGGGGCCACTGGCGGCGCTCAACCTTGAACGCCCGCAGCGGGGTCACCGCCGCATCGACACGACACGAGCCTACCCTGCAGTCGACATGTGGCCACGACGCCCGTCAAGAGCACGAGCCCTTCGCCGAAGGCCCAAGGCCCCAGAGCGAGGACGCGCCGAGGTAGAGAGCTGAGAAGATCGCGAGGATGCCGATTCCAAAGCTAAGGCTGCTCCAAACGGTAACCCGTGTGTCGACTGAATGTGCCCTGGCTGCCGCCCCTGCGGACCTCGCAGACCTCCCGCTCCAGCTCGGCGGCGAGCAGGTTCGCCTCGCCACCACTGCGCGCCGCCTCGGCCGGCCGCACCGGGGGCTGAGGGCCCGGGTCGCACTCACTCCTCAGGCAGCCGAAAGCGTAGGAATGGCACGGCACCGTTCGGGGACGTGTCAGCGTGTTGCCGCTGAGGAAGCACCAGGCCTTCGGATAAAAGCGACGGAGCAACATGCTGGCGGGCTCACAGCGGCAGCGTGTCAATGATGCCCTTTCTCCCTCCTGCCTCACTGCACTCACGAGGAAGAGCTGATCAGATATGTTCATCGACTGGGGAGGCCATGTCCTAGGTCATCATATGTTCCCAAGGCGGTGCATGTCAATGAATCCAACCAAACCTCAGGCTCTAGCGCGTCCCGAGGACTCAAACACACAACCCTCCTCGACAGGCGAAAACATGTGACGGCGGTAGCACCTCAGAAGGGCGTTCCCCAGGACAACTTTGTGATCCCGCATTGTGGTATGGCGGCCCCGAGGTCGTGTTGTGCCCCAGGGGGGGAGAAAACGGTGAAACAAATACAGGACCAGTGGTTTCCTCAGGAACCCTCTCCTTCATGGCGAGAGGGTGTGTGTGTGTGTGGCTTTCGGGACATAGCTCGGGTCTCCAGCTCCGGCGGACGTTCGGACGCTTCGGGCACCACCAGCAAGGCGCACCTGCTGAAAGCACCCCGAGGCTGAAGAGTCTCCGTAAACCTCGAAACTTGCCACGTCCGAACACCTTCAAACCAGAGGGCAGCCTCCCCGATCGCGGAGACCCTGCACGGGACCACTGGCCTTCATCATGACTGCAACCCCGCCCGCCCCGAAGGCACCGAGGAGGGAGGATGGAGGAGGAAACAGTAGGATGGAGGAGGAGAAGGAGGAGGAGGAAAGAGGCGTAGTATGGTAGAGGAGGGAGGGAGGGGGAGGAAAGAGGAGGGGGTAGAAGGAAAGCGGAGGAAAGAGGAATGAGGAGGAGGAGGAGGAGGAGGAGGAGGAGGAGGAGGAGGAGGAGGAGAAGGGGAAGGAGGAGATAGGAGAGAAGAGGAGAAAAGACGGCGGGGGAAGGATGAGAGAGGGCGAAGGAGGGAAGAAACAGGAGGGAGAGCGAGCGATCCCCAGACGACCTCCGTGGGACCACTCCGGGGCCGGCAGGTGCCCTGCCTCGGCGACCCCACCCGCCGCGCGCGCGGGCGCCTCCGCCCTCTCGCACTCCGCCGCGGCCGCCCCCGCCTCGGCCGCGGCGCCCTCGAGCTCGGCGCGCCTCTCCTTTTGCGGCCGCGGGGGGGGGGGAGAAGGAAGCAGAAGGAAGGATGAGGAGCAGAGGAGCAGGAGGAGGAGGAGGAGGCGGAGGAGGGACAGGAGGATGAGGAGGAGGAGGGGGTGGAGGAGGAGGCGGAGGAGGAGGAGGAGAAGAAGAGAAGGAAAAAGATGGAGGAGGAGGGAATGAGGAAAGGAGAAGTAGAACTTTAGTAATCCTAAGATGCGCCGAGGATGCTGCAGAAGCTCACCCCGTCCCAAATCGCCGCCTCAAAACCCCCCTACCAAACATCCTTTTCGCTACAAGAAGCGTCCGCTTGAAAGTCCGACACACTATGGGCCTGCAATTCGCGAGAGTTCCGTTTTGAGATGGAGGTGGGCGCATCTTCTAGCGGACAATAAGGAATGCGAAACGGTATGAGCAGACATTTCAACGAGGTATCCAGCGACGTTCCCGTCATAAGGCACCAAAATGGCCCAACCCCGAGAGGCTTCAAGTGGCCATCAAGAGGCCTCCATAAGGCGCCCAGAAACGCTCCCGAAGGCTTAAACATTACCCCCTACACACCCCCAGGGGGCCTCCAGGATGCCTCCTGCATACGCCCCAATAAGCCCAACAGGCCCCCAAGAGGCTCAACTATCACCTCCAAGACGCCCCCCCAGGAGGCCTCGAAAATGCGTCGCAGAGGCCCTTCAAGAAGCCCACGCAATGCCTCCAAGCTGTTTCCAAACCACTTACGTTTGAACAGGCTCGCTGGGGCGAAAACTTCCTTCTGACAGCGGGATCGTCCCGGATCGGCGGCACCGGCCGGAGGCCTCTACAATATACGCTACTTTCTAGAAACATGCTAGATGTTTGCATTGGGGGGGCCCTCTCGGCGGCCTCTTGGACCGTTTTGAAAGCCTTTGTGACCGTCTAGAAGCATTCTTCGGCTGTCTTGGAGCGCTCGTGGGCCGTCTCAAGGCCATCTCAGTGAGCTCTTCTGCAATATTCCAGACAATATGGGGCGCTTTGGGACCCTCTTTGGGCAAGCGTGGGGGCCTCTGGGGGGGGTCCAGCGCCCCTTCTGGGCGACCCTTCTGGGCCCCTCAAGGCCCCCCCGGGCCCCTATGCAAACCAGGGGTCGTGGTTATGGGCCTTCGCCCGGCCGTCTCCAATATATCTATGCATACTACGAACATACAAACACACAGACATACATACAGACATACTTACATACATACACATATGTGTATATATGTGATTGTCGCTACACATTTATTGAAACGCCCGCTGCCACAAAATTGTGTTCACCAATGTTTGGTTGCCGTCAACTGTACTCATGATGCCCACATTGCGGTTGCGAGTGCAACCCTGCGCCGCTGTGAAACTGCAAGCGCAATGGGGCCGCAAAATCTGTACCCTACGGTCGCGGGTGCGTCGCTTTTTGGGGGCCGACCGGCTGACGCACTTCGAACTCTCTCCCCCATCAGGTGTGCGGTCGCAACGTCGCCGCAGGAACGACAGAGAACGTGCCACTGATCCCGGCGGCGCCTGGCCAGCACGTGCGGTACTGGGAATGGCGCGGGCAGGCCCTGCTCGCGGGGCCGCCGCGCGTGGCCCCAGGGCCCGAGCCCTTCGGGCCCGGGGCTCGACCCGAGCTGGCCCCGGAGTCCTCCGCCTCCGCCTCCCCCTCCGCCTCCTCCGCCTGCTCCTCCTTTTTGTTCCTCCTCCTCCTCCTCCGCCTCCGCCTCCGCCTCCCCCCCCCCATGCCGGAGGCCGACCCCCGACGGAGGCGCCCCGTCGCTCCGCCAGCGCGGCGGCGCTGGCGGCCGCGGCCTGCGCGGCCTCGTCCACGCGCGCGGACGCCTCCTGCGCGGGCTCGCCAGGAGCTCCGAGAGGGGGGGGGGGGCGAGGGGGATGGAGGGGAGGTCGCGGCGTCATCGCGGCGAGGAAGAGCGGCAGAAAAGGTGGAAGGGAAGAGGCAACTCGTGGGAGGTCTTCGTGAAGGCGAATGAGGGCTATACTAGGGCCGCCAGGTGGAAACCAAAAAGAAACCAGCTAATCGAGGGGAGAAAGTACGCTGGGGGTATGCTAGTGTCCGACCGCGGATATACAAGCGCCGATGCAGAGTTTAGCCTCTCGGGAGATGCATCCTAAGGGGGAGGAAAGAGGAGGCGAAGGAATAATCCATACTACAAGAAGATCACAGCGCATGACAAAACAAACTCTAAACATAATACTAATGATGCTACGACGAAGAATTACAAGCATTATAATTATCATCAGCATTCGGATAATGATACTAAGAAGGAGACGACGGAGGCGGGCGAACAGGATGGGATGATGTCTTAGACAATGAACTTCAAGGCCGCAGATGTGCCGCCGCGGGACTGCCTCAATCCTGAGGTCGGTCCGCAAACTCTTGCAACTTCGATTGAAAGCAAAGCTCTGACTCCGCACGGGCTGCGTATTTGAACGCAGGTCAGCGCCGCGCCCGAACTCCCTTGAACGACAGAGGCCGCAGGCGCGACAAACAGGGACTGACGCGGGACGAAATAACAAAACGAACGGGGGCGAAGGCCCGAAAGGCGGCAGGGATCGACCGAAGACGTCAAGGTGGAGAGTGGGAACGAGAAGGTGGAGGAAGAGGTGGTGGTGACTCGGATTATGAGCACATTGCACTTGTCATATCTGCATGCGTTCGCAATGCGCAGTACATTCAATCGGAGGACCCCGCGGTGACAAACTCTGTGTACCCCTTTTTAAAACCAGGGCGGAGACACCAGGCCTCGAGGGAACGGGAGGAGAGGCCCCTTTGGGGTCGCTCCCAATGTCCTTCTCGTCGACGCTGCTGGACTCGCCTCGAAATCCTGGTCGTGACGAGCTCCAGGGCAGGTCCAAGAGCAAAGAGCAACACAAGGCGAAGGAGACGATCGCCGACACCACCAAGCACCACGACATCCAACCAGAGGCACGTGAGGTGCATCAAGGCAGGAGCGCACAACAACGATTTGGTGAATCGGATCAGCTCGGGACATGCATCGGGTCGGACCGCATCCGCGCGGAGTCAATATTTGCCGTCCTCTTCCCTCCCCCCGCCACCTCTGTTCGGTTCCCCCACCTCCTGGGAGGGGGGAGAGGAAGAAATGGGGTGAATATGTGTCGCCGTCTTCGACCACGTGGCAAGGGAGGTGCAACAGTCGCACGTCACCTCCTAGGATTGGCACAAGAGGCATGCGACATGTCGTGCTTGAGCAAGCAAGCCAAGATGCGTACGCTAAGCTCGCTCGCATGAACGAAATGTGGTGTCTTAATGAGCTGATGTAACAAACACCATCCACAGATGTATGCGTGTACCATCTGGACGGGTGGCATTTCCTGAGCTGGACTGGAACATGGAGCATGCTTTCAGAGTTGAACGTCTGCCTGCCAAGTCACAACGCGTGAATGGCTTGGGTCTTGGTCCAGAAATCGCATGTGATACGGACGGTAACTGTAACAAGTAGAATCTGGGTGCGACATGGCATTGACCGACAAGACAACCACTGACAAACTGCAACAGACACATCTACGGCAAGTTCGTGTCGGGACGACGTAGGCGCCAATATTTCACATCGTGGATCGTTCAACCTGACATGATCCTGCCCTCCCTGGAGCGCGGATCGCTCGAATCTTAGCGCTGATTGTTCGATATTGGCCGATTCCAGAACACTGGCCACGTTCGAGGTTGAAAGCAAGCGCTGGGGTCCACGCCGTATCAGCGCGGCGCGCAACTGCCGTGAAGGAAGACGCCGTGCACATCAAAAGTGCATTGGCAGAGTGGCGGAACGACGGTCTGCGAAACACGCACACTGAGTAACGCCGATCAGAGAACGACCACGGCAACGACAGCGACAATGACGACGACGAGGGAGGACAAAGGCAGAGGAGGACGACGGCGATGACAACCTGCCGGGAGAGACAGGACGCATACCGCAGTGGCCGCAGACCGAGGGCAGCGCCCGCCAGACCTCGACTGCAGCCGCAGTGGGCTCCTGCACGGCGGCCTCCGCCTCCCTGCGCTGCACGGCGGTCTGGTCCTCTACGGCCCTGCAGGTTGCGGCCAGCTCGGCCTCGATGCGCGCGAGGCTCTCGCCGATGAAGTCTACCACCTGTGGGGGAATCGTCTGCACGCTCAGGAACAAATGAGCGTGCGAAACTGCCGTCTCGAGGGAGGCAGGCGCGAATTCAGCATGAAGGCCCTATGACGAAGGCCACTGGATACTGGATGCGGGATGGCTCGGGTCAGCGCCAAACGGGCTGTAAGACATGCTCCTCGCTTTCCAGCCATGCATCCTCACATAATGCTATAAGCGTCCACACAATCTGGCTGGAATTTCCCAGCGGCCCTCGGCCAATCGAACTCGACAATGGTCTCTGCCCGCGCGGCACACCAATGGCACCTGGAAATCTGGGAAAGTAGCAGTAGCCTTACTCCTCGCTCTTCTGAGAATACGCAGCGTCTGTGGCAACACGGACAGCGAGTCGTGTTCACAATGTGCAGGAACTACTGTCGGCCTTCGTACCGAATCCCAATTTCGATCTTCCACCGAAATCAGGAAGAGGGTGCGCACCTCTCACGTGGAAGCAGATTGGATACTTACAAGTCGGAACATGTCGGCTGCACCAGCAGAGCTGCTACGCGAGACCCACAAAAACTTGAACACCCATGCCGAACTTGCTCGATATGGCAACAACCAAATCAGTACAACACATGTACGGAACGACTGGCGATATGTGCCCCGTTACCCACTTCGGCCTTTTCATTGGCCCCATCCGCATCTTCTCTTCTCCCCGCTTGGGTCAGACAACGTCGTTTCCTGTCGAGGGCATCCAGGACTTGACCCCCGGCCACCACGATGAAACAAGTCTTAAAGATTAGGCCACAAGCTCCGCCGACTGCACCTTGCCAATAGCCCATCCGGTGGCGTCCGCCTCGCCAGATCCGACAGGTCGTGCTACCGAGAAGCTGGAAGCGGTGAGAATTCGAAACTCCACGAACGTGGAAGTGGTCAGTGATGGCACACCTGGCAGGGGCGGAAACGACGAAAAGCCGGAAGAAGACGCATTCGGGCGACCCCGTCTGCACTGGCCATACAACGTGGCGGCTCCCGCTGGTCCAAGACTGCCGAGGCGGGCCCCGAGGAAAGTCTGGAACTACGCACGGCCGACACGCAGAGTTGTTTCCAGCTCACGGCCGTGAGGCAGGAGGGGGGGGCGCTCGACGGGCGAGCAAGCGCGGGCCAGGGAGGACGGCGGGGCAGAGGAAGACACGACTGCATAGACACAAGCTTTCGGAGGGTCCGCGCGGAGCTCTTGGATCTGCGCGGGAACCCACCTGACTGGCGCCCGGGGCGTGCAGGGGCAGCGCTGGAGGCGCCGTCAGGGTGGTTTCAGCGCCGATTCAAGAAGTTCGCGCGATTTTCCGAAAATTGTCTATGTTCATATCAGTTTCTCGTCTTCGATCTTCGAGGGGGATGAGGAAGGTCGGAAAGGGGGGGCGAGAGGAGGGTGCTGGCAGACGAGAAAAGCTCAGGAAAAAGAGCCACCACCTCAGCCTAGGGCGTTGCATCACGGGTTGCCGAAGAGAGCCTGAGACGTGGTTTGTAGAACAAACAGATTGTTCCCAGGACTCCTCCCGGGCTCCATCGTGCCCCGTTTTTCGACGGGGATCCAGCCGTGGCAACGAGAAGCTCACTCCAGGGATGGCCGCCGTTGTCTCGACTGGCCCTCCTCCCATTGGCGAGCCCTTTGCGAGCGATGCCGCGTCGGACGGCCGCAGTCCCATGCAGCATGAAGCAACTGGGTCCTGGAATAAGGCTGCATCGGCACGGAGTCGAAAAATTACCAGATCAGCTGCGCAAGATGCGCAACAACTCCATGCAAACGTCGGGCCGCATCGGATCGTCGGAATGTGGGAATCGAGTCAGATCGGACGGGACAAATTATGGCTTGATGGCGTGAAAGACACGAACCCTGGAAGAGAGGGGATCCCGGGAATCTGTTCGCCGTTTTCGGGGTCCCACGGGACCGTCAAAGCACAGCTCGGGATGATAGGCTACACGCCGGAGCGAGCCTGGTCAAAAGTGACCTTGTGAGCGGCTTGCCGATCGTTGCGTGTAGAGGCCGCAGTGGCGGCCAGCTTGCTTGGGCGTTGCCCCCCCCCACGCCGCGAGATTCCGGCCAAGTGTGACTCCCACGTGCAAATGGCATGAAGAGCTGGTCCTGGGGGAAGGCCCCCGGAATCTATATACAACATGTTTCGCTAAGAACCCCGTGTCTCCACAACGCCGTCCCATAACCCCTGGGCTGGAGGCCCCGGCCAAGACCGCCTGCGCCTGGTTGCCGTCGCGCTCCTCGTGCGGGATACCGAGGCTCACCTCCTGGTAGGAGCGGCCAGCATCGATTCGGTAAATCGGATCGGAGCCGACAATGCGTCGCATCGGGCTGCATCAACACGAGCTCGAAATCGAACCAGATCGGCTGCGCCTGGATGCTCAAGAACGCCATGTAACCATCGGGCCGCATCGGTTCGACCCGAGCGAACTCGACGTCGGATCGGACAGGTCGAATCGACTTTGACCATGCGTGGTGCGGAGGCAGTGAGGAACGGTCCCTGACCTCCTTGCGGGGCTCTACATACACAAGCCAACTATGTGTGGTATACACGTACCTATATATATATATATATATATATGTGTGTGTGCACACCAGCATGCATGTATACACATGCACGCATACATGCGCGCACACATACCTATATACATGCATGCATGCATACATACATGCATGCATACATGCATGCATACATACCTGCACAAACATGCATACATACCTACATACATACATACATACATACATACATACATACATACATGCATACATACATACTTACAGACTTACATGCATGCATACATGCATACATGCATGCACGCCTATCCATACATACACACATACTTTCATATAGCCATACGCATACATACATACATACATACATACATACATACATACATACATGCATACATACATACATACATACATACATACATACATACATACACATATACATACATACATACATACATACATACATACATACATACAAACATGCACGCATGCATGTATGCATGCATACATACATACACACATGCATACATACATACACACATACATACATGCATACATACATACATACATACAGGCATACAGACATGCATACATACAGACATACATATATGCACAAATCAACGTTACAGTGATACACACACTTACATGCATACATATATATATGCATCCATTCATGCATGCATACATACATACGTACAGACATACATACGTAGGTACGTTCTTATATACATACACGTACACATATACAACTCGCTCTCTCTATATACACCTACAGGCAGGCAGACAGGCATACATACATACATACATACATACATACATACAGGCAGGCATGCACACATACATACATACATACATACGTACGTACGTACGTACGTTCACGCATACATACTAGAAACATGCGCACGCTTCGCGGGCGCTTCGGTTCCGGCGCAAAACGGGGGCTCTGGGGGGCCTCGAGCCTGTTGAAGGCCCCTTGGGGAATGTCTGGGAGCCATGTTGGGCCTCGCGACCGAGGGCTGTCTAGAAGTCATCCTGGGCCGTCTCGGTGTCATCTTGAAAGGTCCTGGGGCCCCCCGTCAACCGTCTTGGGGCTTCCTCGGGATCCTCTGGGGGGCTCTTGGCCCCTCTGTCGCATTCGGAAGCCGTCTGGGGGGGACTCTGAGATCATCTTCGGCGACTCTGGAGTGCTCTTGGGGCCGTCTTGTGGCCTTGTGAGGCTCATCATGGGGCACGCGTGGGCCATTTGACACCATCCAGGAGCCTCGGGAGGCCATCGGAAGCGGAGAAGCGGCACTTCCAATACCGCATGATGTTGCTTCGGTGTTTCACTGATGTTGGCCTCTTTGGGTCCTCTTGGAAGCCTCTTGGAGCCAGAATCCTTGAACAAACAGAAAATAAACAGAATGTGTCTCTCGAGGCGCTTTCGCAGGCATTGTTGGACCCGCTCGCGCGGTCCTTGTGGTCTCTTCTGGCCAGCTTGTGGCCGTCCTGGGGCATCTTGCCACCCGCTGGGGCCGTCCTGGGGACCTGGGGACATTGAAAATGCCCAGAGCCCTGAAAAGGGCCTCAGGCCCCTATGACAAACGGCTGGTGGAGGCCCCCAAGCCCGGATCTCCTCGGGTCTTTGAGACATAGCAAGAAATTCTAACCAGAATTTGCATGAATTGCCTGTTTCCTGCGAAATCCTAAAGAAAGGAATTCTCAAGATGGTTCGGCTCCCTGGAGGAGAGAGCAAAGGTGGCAACCTTGAGACGACGACGACGACGACGACGAGGGGGAGGAGAAGCAGCGGAAGCAGGCGAGAGCATCCGCCTCCATCTCCCTCATCACCATCGCCATTATCATCAGTAGTAGCATCAGCAGCAGCACACATCATCATCATCATCATCATCATCATCATCATTGACCACCACCACAACCATCCGTATCCCCATCCTCATGCTGATCGTCATCATCCTCCTCATCATCAGCCCATCCTCCTCATCATCAGCCTCATCATCATCATCAGCAGCAGAAGCATCGTCAGCATCCTCATCATCCTCCTCCTCATCATCATCAATAGCAGCCTCAACAGCATCACTAATCACCACCACCATCCGTATCCCCATCCTGATCCTCCTGCTCATCATCATCCGGATCCTCATCATCATCATCCTCATCACCATCATGCTTATCATCATTAGCACCAGCATCAGCATCGTCATCATCATAATGTTCCTGATCTTAATCCTCATCCTCATGATCATCCTCATCCTCATGATCATCATCATCTTCATCACCATCATCATCAACAACATCATCATCGTCAACATCATCATGAACATCATCATCATCATCATCATCATCATCATCATCATCATCATCGTCATCATCATCATCATCATCATCGTCATCGTCATGGTCACCGTCACCGTCACCGTCAGAGTCACCGTCACCACCACCACCATCACTCTAACCATCATCAGCATCAGCATCAGCATCAGCATCAGCATCCGCATCATCCCCACCACCACCATCACCACCACCATCACCATCACCATCATCATCATCATCATCATCATCATCATCGTCCTCCTCTTTCTCCCTCCAGGCTCCTCCATTCCTCTCAATGTCCATGTCCCCGCTCCTTCTCCTCCCCGACCGTCTCCTCATCATCATCCTTTGCATACTACGCCCCCCTCCCTCTCCTTTTTGCCCCTCCCACATGCACTTCTGTCTCCTCCTCCTTTTGCCTTCTCCTTTAGCCCCTTCCCCCTTCCATCATCTTCTTCCCCTCCCTCGGGTATCAAGTTTCGGATGAGGAGTGTGGGGGCTATGGTGTAGGGTTAGGGTTCAGGAATCATTGTTGGTTAGGGTGAGAGGGTTGGGGCGGAGGTGCTAGGGCGAGATTGTGAGGGTTAGGGTCTTGCGGTTGGGGTGTCAAGGTTGGAGCGTGACGGTGCGGGTGGTCAGGCAAGACTGTTAGGGTGCGCTGTCAGGGTGCGGTAGTGCACGAGATCCACTGGAAACCGAGAAACCGATAAACTAAGTTCGAAGCCGAGGTCAACACAACGAAAACCGATAAACCTACCCCCAAGGGGTGGGCATACAGCAAGTTCACGTCGCGGTGACGCCGGCGTTGGTGTCTGACACCGCGCAAATCATTCAGCCCAGGACGATCGCGGCTCTCCGACAGCACAGACCGCTCGACATCGGCCAATTCCGGGGCACAAGCGGCGTTCAACCTTGAACGCCTCGTGCGCTGGGGTCGCCGCCCTGGTTGACGCGGCGCGTGTCCATCGAACGCCAAGGCCAGGATCGGTCAGCCGCGAATTGGGACATTGGATCGAATCACGATGTGCGTCGGATCGGGCTGCATAGGCACGGAGTCGAGATCGGACCCGATTGGCCGCGCCAAGGTGCACAACAATAACAAGAAAACCTCGGGCCACATGGGATCGTGCCAGAATCGAATCAGATCGAGCCGGCCAGAACCGACATCGAATCAGATCGAAATGTACTCGTTGCGGTCTCCGCCGCATTGACACGAGGCGTGCCTACTGTTCGCCGAGGCTGCCTACCACCCATCGGCGTGTTGCTAGAGGTGTCTCTGGCCCAATCAGTCCCAAGCTTTCCGCGCTAATTTTGCGAACGGAGCACGCTAGGGGCGGATCCAAAAAATCCACGCGGACCCTCGAAGAATTATGCTTGTGCTTTTGCGCCCTAATCCGCTTAGTTGTAAGTTTTATACCATGTGTTCGAACGCCCAGGAAGGCAGCCCAAGCTCTCGAAATCGGTGGGCCTTCGTGGCCCCCTATCGTGTCCCCCCATCGGGGCACCCCTATGGTCGCTCACCCCTATGGTGGCTCCCCTCCGTGCATGCAACACAGTGTAGCTGTTCCGTGTATGCTGCAAGGGTGTCAGTTCAACTTTCGAACCTCAAGCCCAAGAAACCTCTGACAACACCAGAAACATCCCCCCGTCTCCACGCCAGCAGCCAGCATGGCGCGGCACGGCGCTGGCAGGCCCGCGTCAGCGCGGAGCGCTGCGGCAACGCTGCTGCACCCCTCCATCACCTGCAAGCGCAAGACCAATCAACATCGGGTCGGGAAAGCGGACCGATACGCAGTGTGAGACGAAGCCAGGGCCCGGACAACATCGGGTGGGATACGGCAGGAATATCTGGTATCCAGCAGTTCTGGAGGATGTATCGGGCGCCGCGGCACTTCCAGAGCGCTCTGGAACGATTGAGAGATATCCAGAATGCTCTGGAACGAATTCTCCTGGTCCTGGCCCCGCCCGAGTGTGTGCGTCGAATCGGGCCGCATCGGCACGGAGTCGAGGTCGAATCGGATCGGCCGCGCCAGGGTGAACAACAGCGGCGCGCCAGACATCGGGCCGCATCAAACTGTCGGAATGGCGGAATCGGATCGGATCGAGCTAACCGGAATGGAACCCGAATCGGATCGATCGAAGTCGGCCCTGCAGGCCCGAGCCCCAACAGAGCCGAGAGTCCCCACAATCAAAAAGATGTCGAGAACTGCTCTCGAGGAGTGACAGAAACCCCTTCAGCAAACCGACCTTCCGTTTAAGCTTCGAAGGGCACTCCACGGGTGTGCGCGGCACCCCATTCCGAGTGCACCCATGCGCAAGAGCTGACCGACGCCCAAAAAGTCCCGATTGCATCCAGCGCGCACACGAGTAACTCACCGAAACCGTCGCTTGGGCTGCACCGGTGCACTACGAATGCCAATACCGAGAAAACTGATGCAGAATTCTGTCGCGCTGTCGGGTCGCACGGAAGGTGGAGTAGTAAAGGAGGCGTTAGTGAATCAGTCCACGTAACTGTTTTCCGCAGTGCCTGCACTGCGCTGGAGACGGACATGTATCGAGGGAAACGCCTGGCGTGGCCGAAACCAACTGCACGCAGCAGACTTCGTTCCCCACCCTGCCCATGTTCCCCCCCCTTTCGTCCGACCCGTTTCTGTGAGTGCCCAATGCTCTGGCTAGCATGAGCGGTATCGAATGAACTCGGGCTCTGCCGCTGTGGCACCCTGCGACCTCGCCTCTCCCAGAAACACGTGTCGCGTTTCCGCGGCGAGCATCTGGCGATTCGGCTCAGACGGGCGCGCTCGCCACTGCACCAGCTTCGCCCCTTTTCCCAAAAAGTCAAGCGTGGCGGTCGAAAGAGGGTGAGAGCTCAGGGGGGTTAAAGAATCAGCTGCTTGCAGCTAGTTTCCAGTGCGCCAGTGTATCGAGGTCAGCGCCTGGCAGCGGAGCCAAAACCAACTGCACGCAGCATATTTCTTCACCTCCCCCTTTCCCACCCCATCCCCGTTTCGTCCATTCCAACTCAAGCGAACTCAAGGGACATGTACAACGCCTGAGATGCTCCCGTTCCGCGGGCTTCTACACTCCCTCCCCACCCGTGTGCGCATCATGCACGTGCATGTGCGGCTTCACTCGCCCAAAACCCGCTTGAAATGGGCGCCTGGGCCCTGTGTACGGACGACAAAGAACGTCGACGAACGAGTCCGCAACTGAAGTGTGTCGCAGCATGTGTGTGGTGTATGACCCTGGGCTTGGCTGCTCAGCGGTCGGCGATGCCCGTATCTCATTGAGGGGTCCTACTCCAAACGTGACCCGCTCCTGAGGGGAAAGTGTGTGTGGGTCAGAGTGTGAGTGTATGTGTTCCTTGGGCGAGCGTGTGTCTGTGCGCGTGCGTTGAGTCATGTGTTGTTTCAGAATACTGCTTGTGGCCAGTCCTCGTTGATAGCCGAGTCCCTGCTGTTCCTTCCTTGCCCAGCTCCCCCGTTCGCCATCGTGCGTATGTCCTTCCTCTGCCATCCCCTGGGTACTGCAATGCGCGAAAAGGCCATCATTTCCCGGCGCCCCTGGGAACCCACTGGAGTGGCGACACACGCGGACCTCGCCTGCACTGCCTGCTTCCAAGCGTACATCTGTCGCCATTGTCAAAATCATCTGGTGGGTCCAGCGGAGGGGTGACACTCGCGGACCTAATGAAACCGCATGCTATGCGCATGAATGCCACTCGTACAGCTGCCGCCACGTTTCGTTGCCCGTGAGGGCTCAAAGGAGTGATGACACTAGCGGATCCAGCTAGATGCCACTTGCCGCACGTGCTCTCGATTGTACTAGGGTCAGCCCGTTCTTTCGTCTCTGGGGCGTCCAGCGGAGTGGTCACGCACGCGGGTCCCCTGGGCGCTGCCAAAAAGTGTAATTGTCGCAGCGTTTCTGTGCCCCTGGGTCAGCTCAGCGGACTGGTGACACACGCGGATCCAGCTAGGCATCCCTTGCCCTGCGTGCTGTTGAACGTAGTGCAACGGTCGCCACGTTCCTGCGCGGCAGAGCGGTGACAGTCGCGGTTACGATTAGACATCGGTTTCAGGAAAATAGTAGTTTTGATGATTGGAGGTGGACGAACACACACGGGCCCAGCAAAGAATCGCCTGCATGGGGTGGGGGGTTAACAGAGACAGGCCAATCGAAAAGGACATGGCCTCGCCCGCCATGGCGCCTTCCAAACGTATAACTGCCGACTGTCTTCCTGTGGTGACACACGGGAACCCAGCAAGACACCGCTTGCCCTGAGGGCTGCTGCCAAATTGACAGCTGTCTCCACATTCGCTTACCCCTGGTAGGCCCAGCGAAGCCCCCCCACCCACCCCCCCTGGGGCATCCGAATGAGACCTCGCTTCCTGAGTGTTGACGGACGCCTCTGGTGGGTGGGGCAGGTGTTCCCCCGAATCGGTTTTTTGTCGCTCCTGGCGATGCCCCCCGTCGAGCCTAGCATACACCAGCTCGTGTGAAGGTTCACGGTCCCCACGCAGCCCGCCACCCAACATTGCGGCGGCAGATGTGCGCGGAAACACTTCCACGAAACAACAAACTCCACAAGCACTGACTTTCGGAGGTCCGCGCAGACTTCTCGAGTCCGCGCGCCAGGGGCGATGCCCGAGGCACCGCCACGGGGGTCCAGCGCCGGCTCCATGAATCTGAATGGGCCTCCGAGCGTGTACGTTTACTGGCAGAGCGTTGACTTGATGCGCAGCCCACGATAAGTGGCATCAGACGATAAGCAACGTCACGATAATTGGTTTGCTATCAAGGCCCTGCTAGTGACACCGCCCTAGTGGAGGGAATTCTGAAACCAGAAGTGGGCCGCGGGAACCACGCCTTTGCAAGCTTAGGCACCATGCCGCTGGTATCCTAACGTTTATGCAAACGTGTTCCTCGCACCGAGACTTCTTAAGGTGAGTTCCGGACCACCACAACCTCGGGCAACTTCGCCCTCTTGGTGATCGGCTGGTCCGCGCACCCCACGCGCGGCGCGCTGGACTGCATCCCCCCAGCCGCCCAGCGCTCGCCGGCTGGATGAATATCCGGGGGCGGTTAGGGGCTTGGACCTGAGCGAGGGTGGCCCAGGAGGGACATCAGCTAAGTGGAGAGCGTACAACTTTTGAGGCTTCGAATGCCCCCACCAGAGGGAGAGTGAGGGGGAGGGCGGAACGGGGGAGGGGACGGATGGAGGGGGGAGAAGCAACGCTCCGGACCCACCCCGTCCAGACCCAGAGGTCGAGTAGGAGTACACCCCTGTGCGAGGATACTAAAAGAAGCCGAAATAGGAAGCGTAAACCACCTGCGCCAAGAGGGCTGGTGGAAGTCATCAGCGATCTGGCTCGCGACAAGCTAGGGAGGGAGGGCGGCGCGGGGCGGGCAACGGCCGAGAGCAGCGCACGCAGCAGGAGGCAAGACAGGAGCCAAGCAGGAACGGGGGAGCATGAGGGGGCACAAAGGGTGGAGTGCGGAGGTGGGAAGGGATGTGGCGGGGCAGAGGTTGAAGCAGCGGATGATGGAAGAGGGGGGAGGAACGAGGAGGAGAGGTTGCATGAGAAGGGCGACATGGGGGAAGGAGGAGGCGCATGAATACTAGACGAAATGGACAAGGGCAAAGGTGGGGGGGAGGGTGAGGGAGGGAGGTCGTCCTCCAATCCTTCGCCCTTGCCCAGGCAAGACACCCTTGCCCGCCCCGCCCGAGGGGGAGAGGGCAGGGGGAATGGCGATAGGGCCCGAGGGCAAATCAGGTGAGCCGCGTCCCGCCCATCCCTTCCCGTTGCGTCGAACCCGTCTCTATCCGCGGGTCGGGGTGGTCTAGAGGGCCGTGATACCCAAATGGCAATTGCTGGATTTGGCGCACCGTTTGCTGCGCCCTCGGAAGGGGGGGGGGCTATTGCACATCGGAGGAGGAAGAGGAGGCGGATGAGCAGAAGGCAGACGGAGAAAAAGGAGGACAATCTGGAACAAGAGTATGAGGAGCAGGAACATCGGGGGAAGGTGGAGGAGCGGAAATGAGGGCAGAAATGTGCCCTCCATAGGGCGGTTGCGTCATTCTGCACGACTGGAGAAAAGCACTAATCTTGAAATGTGGGCAACGCTTTGGCTGGAGCACGGGGCCGAAGACGCTTCAACCGAAAAACCGATGGAAACTGCATATCCCACCAGCCATCTGGGCGTAGGTGGTTTAGAACGGTTCCTCTCCCAACCCCAATATTCCCCCTATCGGGAAGAATTCATCGCTGCTCCTCAATGATAAACAACCGCTCCCCCTATCGACCAGCCGCCAGTCAAAAGCCATGCACCTCCCCGCAACCCAGTGAAAAGTCGTACAACGCGCACGCGGTGGCAAAGTCTGGATCGTGAGCGGGACCCCGCGAGCACTGTGCAGTTGTTTGTGACAAGGGTGGCGGGTGCATGGGCAATGTCGGCTGCGCGTTGTCCCACCACCCCTGTCACACATTTAATCTCGTTGATGCTGAACAAACACACACACACCATAGGACATGCTGACCACCCCGCCACTCCTGTGAAATGGCTGTTGGCAAGGATTGTCGGGGGGGTCCACACATTACCCAGTGTGTGCTGCCACGTGCATTGGTGCACCTGGCGCACGTTTTGTGCGTGGCGCACCTGCCGCACCCTGCCAAGTCTTGGAGCCTGAAACACGTGCGTGGAGCAAGTGGCGCATCGGGCGCACCAGGCGCGTCAGGAACGCTTGGTCCCCTGGGGCACATGGCCTACCTGTCGCGCGCAGCGCAACTGGTATGCGTTGCGCACTTCGCGATAAGTCGCGCACCTGGCGCCTGTAATGTTGCTCCACTGCAAATGTATGCAAATCTGATGCCGACCTCTGCCTAGGCTGAGTCTCGGCTGTTACTTATACATTGGGAGGGTGGTTAGGAGAGGCTGAGACCGCTTATGGCGTTCCCGTTATGAATTTGACACCTCCCCATGCCCCATCCCTGGAGGTCTGGAGTGCGGAGGGGTGGGGGGGAAGGGGGCGACACGTGAGACCCTCCACCTCCCCCCCCCCATCCACGCCCCTTCTCCGCCACCTCCTTTACCCCCCTTTCCGGCCTCCTTCAGAATTTCCAAAAGGCCCCGAGAGACTATCTCAAAGTTCACCCTTGTTACCCCTTGTTCCACCATATACCAATGCGACCACCCTTTGGGTGATAAGGAGGTTGCGGGAGAGGAAGTCAGCTTTCGGTGTGCGATGAGGGTCGGATCGGATTCGGCAGAAACCAGTTGGGCACCGCAGGGCACATGTTTGGCCATACATACATATATATATATACACAGATCGATATCACTCTCTATCTAACTATCGAAATCACTATCGAGATCCCTCGATATATTGATTTCACACTCGACCTCAATATCGATCGTACTGTCTATTTGTCGATCGATCCCAAGGTCGATCTCACAGTCGACCTCACGAGACTCTACGGGACACCGCACCATGGGACACCACCGGACACACGAGACACCATGGGACATCACGGGACACCAGCGGGACACCCCGAGCCACCACAGGCCAACCAGGGGATGGGAATCATTGAGACGAGTCTCGCTCTAGCAACGGCGGGTTCAATCATCTCGCCCGCGCGCCCACGCAACTTCGCCTCGAAGGCATGCGCGCCACGAGCACGAAACCGAAACCGACTTCCTGGTGTGGGGCTCTCCTTCACTGCGACCTCACCCCCCAACCACCGCCCATGTGATTGTATTATTCCCTTCTCCCGACAACTCGCCAGAGCATCGTTTCTGGATAGTGGTGGGGACACCGAATGCGTCAATCGATCTGACATCACTGCACAGGGTCAGGAAAAATACGAAAGCATCCTTCTGTCGAGTAATTGCGAGGAGGAGAGGGGATAGGGGCCGGAGGGGGAGGAGGAGCGGAGAAAAAGAGAAGAGGTCAGGGAGGGGATACTCCCCAGACTCCCGAGGACATGTTTTTCACGTCGTGGGGTCTTTGGCCACCAGAAGACTCGACCCCTTTTTCCTGGGACTGGTCACTCATTCCGAGTCGTTGTCTTGTATGGCCGCCCCGGGGCCCGATGAGGGCCCCTGGAAGCCGAACAAGGTAAAATCGGAATGTTTTGATGCTTGTTCACGACGCGAGGGTGCGGGCCTCTGGTTCCCAAGCAGACGCTAAGCCTCTGGCGGCCGTTAAGGACGTTCCTGAACCCCTAGAACGCCCTGAGTGAGGCGCAGCTGCTGGAAAACATCCCGAGGCGAGCGAACATTCAAGAGCTAAGGAACAAGATGGATAACATCAAAAACAACGTAAACGAATATAGATTCATGTTGTCCGACGCGAAAAGGTAATTATGGCCCCCCCTCCGGCCCTACGGCAGCCCCTCTGGTAAATCGGTCAGCTGCACGCGCGAGTGGCCCTGGGCAAGAGTGACCTCTGGTGTGTGGCCCTAGCGGCGGGGGGGAGGGGCAAGCCAAGTGCGCCAACCAGCGCTGGTGGACGCCTCCCAAATGAGGCCAGAGCAGATGGGGTCGGAGGATTGCACCGCATCGCCGATGTATCGACGATGCACCAGCGACGCCAGGACAGAGAAAATCTGACTCCAGATGGCGCCACATTATTGATGCACCGGCGATGCGGCGTGATCCCCCGTCCCCACCTGCCCTGGCCTGCTTTGTCTTGCCTGGCGGCCTGAAGCTGAGGGGGGGGGCCCTGTGTGCCCGCACTCAGAAACCTCTCCAACGAAGGGCCACCAGCACGCGTGCGGCAAGCTCGTGTCGTGACGACTTCGGCGTTGGCTCCTGACGCCGCGTGAAGCGTTCCACCTCGAGCGATCGCGGCTTCCGGACAACGCGGGATCGTTCGATATCGCCCGATTCTGGAACCACGGGCGGCGACCAACCTCGAACGCCCGCACTGGGGTCACCGCCGCGTCGACACGACACACCGTAGACGAAAGAGCCCCCAGGCACTGAGCCGGCCAGCCCCCCGTGCCGCGGATGTTGGGGGCAGAAGGCGGCGGCAGCGCGCCCCGTCGCGCGCCCCCGCCCTGGGCCCCAGCGGCTGCGGGCGGGCTGCTGAGGACATCATCCTCCTTCCGAGAATGGGAGGACGCTCAGGAGGGAGGATGACGAGGATGAGAAGGACATCCCTTCGCCTCCTCCTCCTCCGATTTTAACTCCTCCTCCTCCTCCTCCTCCTCCTCCTCCTCCTCCTCTTCCTCCTCCTCCCCCTCCTCCACCTTCTCTTCCACCTCCACCTCCACCTTCTCTTCCACCTCCACCTCCCTTCGCCTCCTCCTCCTCCTCCTCCTCCTCCTCCTCCTCCTCCTCCTCATCCTCCCTTCCCCTTCCACCTCCTTCTATTTGGCGTGAGTCCCCTTCGCCGGGTGTTTCGCTTTTGCCCGTTCCCAAAATTAGCGTCGCTGGGATTCGCTTCTCCCGGGGTTCCGTTCGCTTGGGTCGCCTCGCCCCGAGGATCGCTTCACGAGGTTTCCCTTCGCCGGAGGTTCGGTTTGCCAGGTAATTCACTTCTCCAGGGTTCGGTTCGCCTGAGGTTCGCTTTGCCGGGGCTCACCGGTTCGCTTCGCCGAAGGGGGTTGAGTACATGGGTGGGTTGTAGGAGCGCGCGGGTGGCGGGCGGCGGGCGGGGCCAGGATTCTATCAGAACGCTTGAGGGTGCTCTCTTGCAACGGGAGACTGTTGAATAGATGGCTGTTGAGTTGGAATTCAGCCACTGCGTAAGATGTTGCTGCTGTGTTGGCAACGGAGGCTTCGTAGTAGATAGGTGTTGTGTCGCAGACGGGAGCTGCCGAGTAGATGGGCGTTGTGTTGCAAAAACGATCGAGGCGGGCGGCGGGCGGCGGTTGGCGGCGGGCAGCGGGCGGGGTCGGGATTGTAGTCGGCGCTGTCTTGAAAAATGACGCTGTTTTGTGGATGATTGCTGCATTGGAGACAGAGGCTGTGTAGCAGATGAGTGTTGTGTCGCAGGCGGGGGGAAGTGAGTGTATGGGTGTTTAAGTTGTAGTGGGTGGGGCGGGCGGTGGGCGGAGGGCGGCGGGCGGCGGGCCGGGGGCGGCGTCGGCATCGTAATCTGACTCATCAGGGGATGTTCGGAACAGGAGGCTGTGTAGTGGGTGGGCATGGCGATGGAGACGGAGGCTCTGTAGTCGATGGGTATGGTGTTGCAGTCGGGGGCTGCGGAATTGAAGGGCAATTCTTTGCAGAAGCCGCGGGGCGGGCGGCGGGTGGCGGGCGGTGGGCGGATGGCAAGCGCGAGCGGTGGATGGCGGGCGGGGCTGACATTTCCATAGAACTCGCACGGGTGCTCTCGCCGAAAGAGGATGTGAGAGAGTGGGCGTCGTGAAGGAGGTGTAGTAGAAGGGTGCTGTGTTGCAGAAGTGGGCGAAGACTGTGAGGATATGACGGTGTGGGCGAAGTCTGTGTAGCAGAAGGGTGCTGTGTTGCAATATTGGGCTGCAAAGCAGATGTGTGTTTCGATACAAAGTCATGGGACGGGCGGCGTAGGTTTCAAGGAACTCTTAAGGGTCAGGAAGCTGTTCTGGGCGCTGTGGGTGTCATATGTTATGTCGCAAACGGGGGCTGTGGCGCCGATGGGTCTTGCGCGTGCAACCCGCGGGTAAGCAGGGAGAAGAAAAAACGGCTGCAACGCGCAAGGCAAAAAAAACTTTACAGGTAAAAAAATGCCTGTGGCGTTTTTTTTGTTTTGCCTTGCGCGTCGGGTCCCCGGGGCACTGGCCGGGGCGCGCGCGCCGGGCGGGGGGGTGCTCCTCCGCTTCCCTCGGCCTGGCTCACAAAAGGAATCGCGACCAGGGTTTTTGCCTGTGGCGCTCCTGGGGCCCAAAGAAGGAATCGCGACCTGGGTTTTTGCCTGTGGCGTTTTTTTTTTTTTTGCCTTGCGCGTCGGGCCTCCGGGTCTTGCCGAGAGCGCGCGCGTGTAGAGGAAGTGCTCCCCTGCTCTCCTCCGCGTCAGTGGCGCTCCTGAAGCCCAAAGAAGGAATCGTGACCTGGGTTTTTGCCTGTGGCGTTCTGGGGCCCAAAGATGGAATCGTGACCTGGGTTGTTGGCCTGTGGCGTTTTACTTTCGCCTGCGCGCTCGGGCCGGGCGGACGGAGGTGCCATGCGGACGCGGCGGACCCTAACGGGCGGGTCGGGTCGGGCGGGCGGGACACTAAAGGCTGATGCGCATACAGCAAGACGCATGAGAACCCTAACGGGCTGGGCGGGACGGGCGGGACGGGCGGACCCTATCGGGCGGGTCGGGCGGGCGGACCCTAACGGGCGGGTCGGGTCGGGCGGGAAAGACACTAAAGTCTGATGCGCATGCAGCGTGACACATGAGAACCCTAACGGCCGGGACGGGACGGGCGGACCCTATCGGGCGGGTCGGGCGGGCGGACCCTAACGGGCGGGTCGGGTCGGGCGGGCGGGACACTAAAGTCGGATGCGTATACAGCGTGACACATGAGAACCCTAA